GGGATATCCCGGTAGGGCGATCCGTCAACAGGTGTGCCGAAGGTCCTTAGCCTCGCTGTTCGTGGAGCGGAACAGTGGACTGAACTATTCAGTGGTGATGGGCTTGTTGCGCATAAGATTGTCATTTCGTTTGTTTAGATGGGCCGTCACTTGCTTCAGAGGATGCCGCCCATCATACAGTGACAGGCCGCGGTTGAACTTGTTTGTTGCCCAGTATCGCCAGGCTGAGTAGGCACTTGCCCTTGGCCGGGACATTATGTGCTTGGTGTTATTCCTATTTTATTATACTCCAATACCTACCAGTTCAACATAATATCACCAATGTTTAGGCTGTTGTGTTCAATCATTCACAAATTGGTTTTGAGAAGAGTTTGAGTTGATTTCCCTGATCACCACCTGGTCAAAACAATAAGACCATTGCTTTTTTGTTCTCTTGTTTATTTGATTTGATTTCCCCAATCACTTTAGTTTGATGATATGCATGTTGACATGGCCGTACAAGTGGCTTTTTCCTATGGAGCTGGCAGTGATTGTTGCAATGATGATGACGACATCAACACTGAAATTCAAGAGCTGTATTGACCTACTTCATCCTGCTGTCTTGTGGATGGCGAGCAAAACTCTGATGCATGTGTTTACTGTGTCATGAACCGCGTTTTTTTGTTTTGCTTATTATGTAAGTACTTCAAAGCTTAGAAACTGCTGAATATGTGAATTATTTGGTTGTGTCACTTATATATGATTTTGGTCGCTCTTTGCTATTCTTTGCTGCTGCGCCGCTTGAGACAGACATGTAAATAGTTTGGTTGTCTTTTCAGTTGTATTTAATTATGTCGGCTCAGAGTCATTGCTACTGTATTCTAATTGCTGCTGCTGCGCTTGAGTACATGACACAGCCAATGTACTTTTCATTTTTTGTAGCACCAACACGAAATTTGTATCAGGGACTGAGCGCCACATTACACAACTCGAAGTTTTACAGCAATGCCACAGACTCGCCGCGATGAAAATCAATTTGATTGTATTTGTACAGTTGCTCGCACTGACCTTGCAAGTCCACCTAAATTTTAAATTTTGCTTTTTATTTTTCAATATATTCAGCTGATTGATGTTTTATTGCCACCTGGGAGTCGTACCCTCCCTAACTCACTGCCACCATCTGGAGTCTAAAACGGACTCTGTATGCAGAAACCCACAATACTCTAGAATGACTGGGTTAGAGTACATGTACAATTTCCATATGCAGCGGAAGAGCGCCATATCTAACAAACGGACAACTGTACGGACTTGCCGATACTTGTATCGTTTTCAGCAGCCACAACTTAGTCAGAAACAGCTCTAAAAAATTTGTGGGCTCCTAATGGTTACGAGTTTCTAGAAAATACCACCTCTGACCGTAGACTATCAGTCCGCGGAGTTGGCAAGTCACGAAGTGCCAAGTACGAGAGCGACGTAAATTATACGAAGGTTGCACGTTGCTAGCAGTATGCAGCGAGAGTATATGTGGTGGGGCATAATTGTTGTTGTTGTTGTTGTTGTTGTTGTTGTTGTTGTTGTTGTTGTTGTTGTTGTTGTTGTTGTTGTTGTTGTTGTTGTTGTTGTTGTTGTTGTTGTTGTTGTTGTTGTTGTTGTTGTTGTTGTTGTTGTTGTTGTTGTTGTTGTTGTTGTTGTTGTTGTTGTTGCTGTTGTTGTTGTTGTTGTTGGTGTTGGTGTTGTTGTTGTTGTTGTTGTTGTTGTTGTTGTTGTTGTTGTTGTTGTTGTTTTTTTGTTTTTGTTTCAAATCTTTATTCTCACGATAGCCAGTGGCCAATAAGAGATAATAGTGTAAGAAAGGAGAAAGAGTGAGGAAGAATTGGGTGGGCAGGGCCTAGGGGCTAATGACTACTTAAGTGTACGGGCAGGGGTGGTCGCCACACGAGCATACAGAGTTGTGTACTTAAGTGTACAGGCAGGGGTGGTCGCTACATGAGCATACAGAGTTGTTTACTTAAGTGTACGGGCAGGGGTGGTCGCTACACGAGCATACAGAGTTGTGCAACAGCAGGGATATCTCGGATTTGAAGGGATTACGAGAAGGGATTTCGCGAAGCTGGGTGGGCAAGCAATTAAAGTAATGAAGGGCCTTGTACAGGGGAGAATGGAGACAGCGGTCAGTCCGCGGAGTTGGCAAGTGCCAAGTACGAGAGCGACGTAAATTATGCGAAGGTTGCACGTTGCTAGCAGTATGCAGCGAGAGTATATGTGGTGGGGCATAATTGTGGCGCTGAGAATGCGCGAAGAGTATATGTTTAACTTTAAATCGTGAAAATAATGTTGGCCATTTGATGCAATGCAAAAGGTGGGAGTGTTCTAAGTGTGTGTAATGGGGAAGGTGGAGACATATTCTGGCGGCTTTCCGCTGGAGTCGTTCTAGCCTGTCAAGGGAAGTGTGTGACAACGGTGTGAGAGCATTGCTCGCATATGAGAATATAAGGACTCAGTATAGAGTCCATGCACTATATGATGTCCAGCACCCTATATAGAGTCCATTGGTCCAAAATCCACTATACAGAGTCCAGGAGTCCACTCAGTTTTGATCAGCTTCATCCTGCCGCGCAATCCCCTATAAGGAGTACACTTTTTCTACAAGTCCCCTATTCACGGTCCAGGAGTCCAGTTTATCCAGTCACGCCGTCCTGTGTGTTGTGCCCCGAAAGAGAACACATTTTTATAAAAATTTCAGTTTTGCTTGCCTCGTGGCAGCGCATTCCTTTCTTCACTTCAGCCATGGCTGCCAATTCTGCTGTGCAGTTGCTGACAGTAATCTGTCTCGAGCTAACCAAGGAGGATAAGGAGACGTTCAAAATCAAATCTGGAAAGCGTCTTGTGGTTCTCTGAAGACGTTTCATCAGTGCGCGGGATGAAAGCAGAAATTGCAGAACGAGAAAAGTTCAGCACAGTTCAAATCTGACGAGTCAGGTACACTGACGCTCTCTTTCGTTCGACGCCACAAGGATCCCCTGTTTGGCTGGCCATTGCTGCCAGTAAGACGTTTGAACGGTTTCATCAGAGCGAGGGATGAAAGCAGAAAGCGGAGAAAGAGAAAAGTTCAGCACAGTTGCAATCTGACGAGTCAGATACACTGACACTCTCTTTCGTTCGACGCCACAAGGATACCCCTGTTTGACTGGACAAGAGCTGCCTGTACCACCGTGTCAAAAGGCTGTCCAACTACATGGCAGGACGATGACTGAGGTAAGGAAGCTTTTACTCGTTTCGATTGGTCTGCTGTTCTGTCGTTATGCTTGAATTTTTTTTCCATTTTCAAGGAGTGTATCGCGTTTGTTTGATGTTGCTTGAATGAATGCCCTAAAAGTAATCAACCACTTCGTAATAGTCCTCAAGGACTGCAAGGACTTTGCATCAATCGTATATGATCGTCTAGCTATCATCAATTTTTATTTCATAAGAAATGTATTTTTATCCCTGTGATAATTATGTGAACTCCACGACACTCTTCCTGTAGTATGATGTCGAATACAATGGGATCCACAAACGCAGTGCCAGTGTACTAGTAGTAGTAGGACTAGGAGGATTGCTTGTATGCCAATGACAAGAAAAAGCTTCTCAAGCTAATACTCGTATTCCCTGAAGTAACCGTTTTGATGTCACGAACATGACATTGTGTCAGTGAAACTGCCTCGTGACAACAAATCATTGCATTTCCATCTTGGGGAAGACTGACTGACAGCAACGCTGTACAGATTGTTCAAATCATCTCATTTCAATTTAGTTGCAGTGAAGTGAAACACTGTGTACACTACATGTATGTTGGTGTGTCTGTGCGTTTTGAGTGTGCACAAACGATCTTATTCCTCGTATTACTAATAGCTTATTGTACCCACCATCACCTGTTCACAGGTCTTTGAGTGGATTGATTTTCATTGAGCATCACATTCGTTGAGAACTTGGTAGTTGTGTGCTCCCATGCATCATTACGGTAATAAGCGTATCCTTGTGCTATCTATTTGTTGCAGGTGTGCTGATCTTCAGAAGCTTGCGGAACTGAGTGCTGCTGAACATTTGCATGGCCATGAGCAATGGTGAAGCTTGCTATTGCACTCTCAGCATGTGCTAGTATTATGCTGACCACTGCACTATGTTACTCTCTTACACTACTACGTGTATGTAAACGTGCGTGTACCCGTCCCCGTACGCATTCGTTTCGTATAATTATTTGTTATCCCTCTTGACTTTACATGTAAATGGGTGGACGTTTGCATGGCTGTTGGAGTTGCGTGTGTATTGTGTCTCTACTCTTTTCTTGGTGTTTTCTTGGCGTTGTATAAGTGTGTGTGTGTGTGTGCGCGCGCGCGCGCGCGCACAATAATTTGAAAACAAATAATTAATCCTGGGCTCTCCATTATTCTCTTTCGATTCTTGGTTTTTTTCTAGGTATTTTCTTGGCGTTGTGTGGGTGTGTGCATGTGTGTGTGCGTGCACAATAATTTGGCAACACTACATGATTGAGATATTGTAATTTGCAGCGTCTGCGAAGAGACCACTTGATTTGAGGATGGTGTTTGTAGGGTTTTTCATGTAATGACGTGGCTGCAGTGGCGCCTCAATACATATATTTTTATCTTGAGAAGTGAATGATGTAAAGGATTAAAGGGAGAGGCCGTTTTCTGGTTAATATTCACTGCTTACAGCAGATCCTATGTCTATTTTCGAACTCGATAGGGGATGCCTAATTGGCTGGACTTTATACAGGGGGTGTTGTCCACATAAAGACTCTTTATAGTTGATTTCAAAGTTTGGACTCCGTACAGTTGATTTTGGACCAATGGACTCTATATAGGGGTGAAGCCAATTGGCTGGACTCTATACAGGGAGTGATGTCCATCGAAACTTTGAGCTCACAGTTGATTCCAAGTTTGGACTCTGTACAGTGGATTTTGGACGAATGGACTCTATATAGGGGTTGGACATCATATAGGGGCTGGACGCTCTACTGAGTCCAACATATAGGTAGTATGTATGTCTGATAGATGTGAGATAAAGAATCACTGGTGAGTGTAGACCTTAGTCTAAAAAGAATATTGAAAGACTTGAGTGATTTTTGACTATGTATTCAACATGCTCCGTCCAACGGAGGTCATGCTGAAAGATTATTCCGAGGTGTTTGTGTTTTTGTGCTACGGTAAGCGGACTATTCCTGAGGGTGATCTGGGGTAGCTGTTCAGGGGGGCGGTTATTGTGGTAGAACGGGAGGATGACTGTTTTCTTTGTGTTAACCAGCAGGAGCCATCTTTGAAGCCAGTCTCCAGCTGCTGTGACACTCTGTTGTAGGTTTCGGGTGCAGTCTTGAAGAGTTCTCGCTATGGAAATCAGAGCGGTGTCATCTGCAAATTGGCTACAGGTGGTGCCGGGATTCTCACATGCGTGTGGAAGGTCTATGGTGTAGACGAGGAATAGAAGCGGCCCAAGAACAGATCCCTGAGGGACGCCGGCAGGGATCTCGAGGAAAGGCGATAGGTCGCCATCCACCTGGACCCTCTGCCGACACCCCAACAGGTACCGTTGGAACCACTCCAGGGCGTTGCCCTGGACACCATAGTGGGAGAGTTTTGCTAGAAGGCCTGCATGCCACACACGATCGAAGGCCTTGCTTAGATCAAAAAAGCAGGCATTGACGTGTTTCCCGTCGTCTCTCGCAGTGGAGAGGGTATGGACGAGACGGGCGAGCTGCTGCTCAGTGCCGTCTTTCTCACGGAATCCGGACTGTTGGTTGGGCAGGTGGGGTGTGATGTGCTTGTAGAGGAGTTGATGTGCAATTTTTTCTTGGATTTTTGATGTAGTGCTCAAGAGAGAGATGGGTCTATAATTTGTTGGTTGGGTTGGGTCACCAGGCTTGCGTACTGGAGTAATGGTGGCATCTTTCCACTCCTGTGGGATTTCTCCGGTTTGGAACGATAGATTAAAGAGGGACGATAACGACGGTGCAAGTTCCTTAGCCGCTTCTTTGAGTAGGCGGTTTAGAATAGAGTCGAACCCGGGGCTTTTGTTGGTATCCAGTTCTATGTCCACGAAGGTGAGACGGAGGTTGGGCCGACCGTCTTTTCGTTGTTTTTTTTGTGCACTTTTTATTTTATTTGGGTAACAATGAGAAAATGAAGTTGAAGACAACACTGCAGCTGTAATTATGGTTGATAAATATGGTGGTAAAGACCCACCTGTCACCGTAGTGTCTTTACCACCATAATTATTTATCAACCATAAGTACAGCTGCAGTGGTACAAAGTTGATTTTTGTGCCCTGCAAGAGCTCAAACTTAGGGACAGATTCGAGCAAAGGATAAGCGATTCCCACCAGCTTATCAGTCTCGGCCAAGAGAGCGGGAGGCACGGCAGCATCGGCTTCGCTGTGTCGCGGAAACTACTTCCGTTCATGACAAGCTATAAAAAAACTGTGTGTCTTTACCACCATATTTATCAACAATGAGAAAAAGCAAAACAAAGACAATTGTACAAATAACACGAAAAATGAGCGCCATGCAACATATTCTATTCAATATGCGCTTCCGCACACTGATCATTCGAACTCACACTGGGAGGGCCATGTCGATTGCGCGAGCCACGCAAACACAAAACGCAAGATCTCAGCAATGCAAACGAAATTCGGCAACGGATGAATGACATGACCACTGAGTATGGCTCATTATGCTTCTCAGATTGCAAACTCGCAATACGTTTATATAAAGAGGAGTTGGCACGGCTGAAACCTCCGGATGCGGAGAGTACTGCCGGTACAAACGAACAATTTTCCACATTCCGTACACGCTCCTCATATGTTATAATAATCTTTATTAAAGGATCTCCCAGAGGCGATGGCCTGTCGAGGGGATCTCCTGATGCAAATCATGCAATAGAAATAAACAGTGAGGAAAACTACACGTGTTACAGTATATGCTACATAATGAGCAATAAACACAGGGCTGGGTTGTTCAAAATGAAACAATTAATTTAAATGTCCAGGGATATACCACTACAGTCAAATTTAAAACTTTTCACGTGCAAGCGATATTGCTGCTGAAATTTAGAAACTGAATCTTGGGATGTCAGCCTTATATGTCCGCTTCTTCTCCTTTTCGTGCTTACGGTAGACAGAGGTATCCGGTCAGTTAGGCGAGTGACATTTCGTCGCTACATATTTCGAGGTGGTCATTTCATCGAGTGATAATTCGCGACTGAGCAGTTTCACAGCGTGATTTTTTCACCGCCTGACAAATTCGGCGAGTACGTTTCGACGAAGTTACATTTTCATCGCTGACCCTGTCGCCGAATTGTACTGAAAAACTGAAATCTCTGGATACGAAATTCTTTCTCTTGGTGACTCAATCATGGACGCTCATCCCGATTTTACTGGCCTAACTTCGCGAGGCAAACCTAAGCTAGTGAAGGGTGGATATGCCTACGTGTAAGATAAGAGAGGAAGAGACGAGGCTATTTATTGGAGATGTGAACAGAACGAGACTATTTATTGGAGATGTGAACAGAAAGACGAGCTGTTCTGCAAAGGCCGCATGAAGACAGAGAGCGACAAGATAACCGCGAACAGGGGCAGCCACAACCACGCGCCTGACTTCAGGAACGGTACGCAACGGACCCAGCCGTTTCATTGCAAATCCGCATTGTTACTGCACTAGCATTCGCCAGACCTGCCGACGTACCAGATTATTATCAATTGCTTGACGAAAACTTCTCAGAGTGTGCAGAGAATGTGATAACATATTTTGAGGAATACTACATTGGCAGACTCAGAACGACCGGTATACGGCGTACACCAATGTTCCCTAGGGAATTGTGGACCGTACGGAGTTGCATGCTGGAAGGACAGACACGCACAAACAACGCTCAAGAAGGTTGGCACCGTCGTTTTTCCAGCGCACTGACTTGTCACCACCCTAGCATAGCATTTGGAGGCTCATCACCACCAGCCTTGCAGACGAGGAGCGCAGCGCATCACAGCGTTAGGAACAACTAACCACTGGTCATGCAGCTTCTACCCGAAAAAAGCGGTATGTCGAGCGTGACCGTAAACTGCTTCGCATGGTCCAAAGATATGATCAGAGGCATCGCCCATAATCTAGCTTGCAACGTAGCGGAGTAAATTCTGATGAAGAACTGACCGCATGTGTAACACTTCCAGTAATTTCCGGAATATTAAAACGAACTCTATTGACACGTTTCCGTAAAACTCTCAGACTCCATTGCAGCGTAGTTTTCATATCGGAAAATATCTCCATTGCACACCGTACATAACAGGCTCTCAGCTGCATCGAATAGATTCACCTATGTCAATATTTCGCCCATTGGGCACCATCAGGGCATCCATGCAAAAGAAGATGCAAGCGCCAACATATTATGCTCAGCAGAGGGAAAACACTAGAGACATTCACACCTACAAAAAGTGTAGAATTAACATCCCGAAATTCACGTATTAAGTCCACACATTTGGTAAAGCTATACATGTAGATATTGAAGAAGTATTAGATTTACTTGTAATGTCAATTTCATACTGAGGGTGTGAAACCACACGTAAGTGAGCCATAGAACAACAGTGAATGTATAGTGATAGCGTGAAGTGTAAGTGTAAGTGGACAAGTCTGGTGGTAGTTCAGTAGATTTCAGGTGAAAGGTCGCAGTGCTGAGTGGTAATCCAGTAACTTTGCCGTGATTCAGTCAATTAGGCGCCATCCGTCATCGCAGTTAAATGCTGCCTTGCAATTCCTGACCTCGATGGCCTCCAGAATTTTCCTCGATGGTGGTGAAGCCTCCCTGCCAATAATCTTTACCTGGTGGAAGGGCAGGAAGTTGGGTGACTTGGAAGATTCTTGATGCTTAGTGCTGTAGTGGAATCCCCAGGGAGCCTTCGCTACCATCGCCCTTGCCTCTCAGTAGTGCTCAGCGAAACGATCCCCCACCGGCCGCTCGGTCTCACCAACGTACAGTTCCTCACACAACGTGCAAGACATACAATAAACAACATCCTTGACTACACATTGACTGTCTCGCATACTCGCATCACATGCACGACACTCCATTGGCCGCCCCCTCCCTCACTTCTGCTGGGCTCGCTGCTTCTCCCGGGGGCACACACGCATTCCACTAGACGAGCGAACCAACATATTCTTCAAAGATGGACCAGACAAGAAGACAACACGAACACGTGGACTGAACCTGCGAACACGTCGTGAGACACGAGCGGCAAGTGAATCGCTGATGAATGGCAGTTTGATGACGGACTGGGATTGCTTGCTGTAGCGGCGCCCATGGCCATGCGCCCATGGCCATGCCGTTGCTGTGGGTGAGATAGTCGCCTTTCCTGCTTCTGCTGTTTCTTCTAGGCCGCTCGCTTTGCGGCACTGACTTCGGTGTAGGGGTAGTTGTTCTTCGTCAGCAACTCCTCGATAGTGGCCGTGCTTCTGTTTTCCGCCTCCGGTGTGGACGAATTTCGGATGGCCCGGGAAAACCGGTTGGTGGCAACGGCTTTCTTACATGA